TATCCAGCCACACTGTTCTGCATCCAGCCACACTGTTCTGCATCCACACACACTGTTCTGCATCCAGCCAAACTATTCTGCATCCACACACACTGTTCTGCGTCCACACACACTGTTCTGTGTCCACACACACTGTTCTGCATCCACACACACTGTTATGCGTCCACACACACAGTTCTGCGTCCACACACACTGTTCTGCGTCCACACACACTGTTCTGCGTCCACACACACAGTTCTGCGTCCACACACACTGTTCTGCGTCCACACACACTGTTCTGCGTCCACACATACTGTTCTGCATCCACACACACTGTTCTGCATCCACACACACTGTTCTACGTCCACACACACTGTTCTACATCCACACACACTATTCTATGTCCACAAACACTATTCTACGTCCACACACACTATTCTATGTCCACACACTATTCTACATCCACACACACACTATTCTACGTCCACACACACTATTCTACGTCCACACACACTATTCTACGTCCACACACACTATTCTACGTCCACACACACTATTCTACGTCCACACACACTATTCTACATCCACATAAACTGTTCTGCGTCCAGCCAAACTGTTTTGCGTCCACACACACCATTCCACATCCACACAAACTGTTCTGCGTCCACACACACTATTCCACATCCACACAAACTGTTCTGCGTCCACACACACTATTCCACATCCACACAAACTGTTCTGCGTCCACACACGTTTGGTCTCAAGGTTACTATGTAATTAGAGGTTGTTCCAGTCTGGCTGTCGTTAGGTTAAAAGTGGGTTCCCTGGATTTGTATCTACACAATGATTTAATCAAGTCTGTGAGACTTGCTAGGAAATACCAGCAGATTTGAGTAAAACCGCCTTAACAGTATTATGGGAGCCCCCAGAGTAAACCAGTGTGCTGGGGCCCTTACGGCATAAGAAAGAGATTTATATTTATGGCAAGTAGCTTGACATACACAGCGTAACATTAGGCCCTTATGATCTTTGGGCCCCTGGACAAGTGAACTGGATTGGGGAGAAGGATATCTTGTGAAACTTCCCAGACAAAATGGCCTGCAGGAATGTGAAAACTATAGAGCAATTAGGTTGCTTTCTGTTCCTGGAAAAATATTAAGTAGAATTATGTTAAAACGAACGAACAACGAACTTTATTTCCAATGGGTAAAAAATTGGGCACGCAGGCCTGTCTTACATCAGTCCTTCCTAACATTCATCCCTACGGCAGCTGCATAATTTTCTATAGCAACCATTTTATGTTTTTATATCAAAGGATTGAGAGGTGCCATTGATAAACAGGTAAGGGATGAACAGGCAGGTTTTCGACCAAACAGATAGTCAGATTACGCAAAACAACAGAGCAAATCAACAAATGAATTCACCACTGTACATTAAATTCGGAGACTGAAAAATTCACTCAGCGACCCGTAAAGTTTGACTTGCACCGCTGTTTCTCTTAGCCAAAAGTTTTGCCTTGATTCGTTGTAATTGGGACAGTCTTGGAGGACGTGATCTGTTGTCTCGGGTGCCAATCCACATGTACAAATGGCTGATTTTGTGTACAGGCAGCTGCGAAGTCGATTGTGTCCTGTTATAAGGCGTAGAATAACAACTTGCTCTGGTCTGCCCACAAGGGTCTGCTCTGGAATAGCCTTTATTAAGGGACTATCAATTGCAGGCAGATCATTAGTTGCCTGCAGAGTCGTTGAGCCTGATGGATGAAACTGCTTCTTTTTGGTCGCCCTATTGCTAGATTTTGGAATCTTTCTTTCATAGGGTGTTCAGGCATGCTAAGAAACTGTTCTGCTTGTATTAGTAACTTAGTGTCTCTACGTTCTGTCAGTGTTTCAATCATCGCCATCTTCTCCATCAAAGCTATGGGTATTAATTTCATCACGCCTGCAATGACTCTAAGCGTTTGATTATGCACCCTGTTAAACTTCTGTAGAGGGTTTTTTTTTTTTTTTAATGCTGAACTCCATGCAGTAGACACGTAATCAAGGTGTGGTCGTACACTTTGTTGGTAATCCTTCCTAAGTATTTTCCCATTTGCCCCCAATGTTGTTCAACTTAGTTTTCTTAGGATAGCTATCTTCCTTCTGGCTTTGGTTGCTGCATTATTGATGTGTTTTCTCAAGGTTGGCCTATCATCAAACGTGACTCTGAGGTGTATAGGCTCTTTATCCTCTCTTAGAGGTATTCTCTTTATCTGAATGAGGCCTGATTTTTGTTTTGGGTAGAGGATGAAGAGAGTAGTGCTACACTTGTCTATGTTAATGCCTGCCTAATGAACTTAGCATTTCTGGTCGTGTGACTCGTAAACATAAATTTTACGCATAGAATTAAAACAGACGAGATAAGAAGAAATAATTCTGCTCTCTGAGATAGTCGAGTACAAGAGGCTGAGATAGTCGAGTACAAGAGGCTGAGATAGTCGAGTACAAGAGGCTGAGATAGTCGAGTACAAGAGGCTGAGATA